GAACCTGGGCAGCGCTGGGTTACTAAGTTAGTTTTGTCAAAAGGTAATTCATGTTTTACCAAAATTAAAAGTCTGAAAAGCCATGAAAATAAAGGTACAACGAGTCTGGACAGTGAACAAAGGTAGAACACAAGGGAAAGAGACCGCATCCCCTGGAAATGGAACATAGGTAGAATGTAAGGGATGGGATGTCCCCCACCACTGCACCCCCTGGACATTGAACAATGGTAGAATGTAGGGATGGGGACACCCCCCCCCCACCCGGAAATTGCTCAGACACATGTAGAATACAGGGGATGGGGACCCCCCCCTGGAAATGGAACAAAGGTAGAAGGCAGGGGTGGTGATCTCCTAATATCAAGGGGGAAAGTTTACCTTGAAATAGTTTACCGTGAAATAGTTTACCTTGAAATAGTTTACCTTGAAATAGTTTACCTTGAAATAGTTTACCTTGAAATAGTTTACCTTGGTAAACTTAAAAAAGATTGTTGGACAACCTTATATTTAAAACTTTTCTGACGTCAAAATAATGTCACATTATTACTATGAAAAATATAAGTTGTATTGGGTATATTTTATTTATATCAAATCTTGCATTTGTATTGATTCAATACCGGCCGAGTTTATCGTTTATCAGTCTTAATATTCTTTTGAAATGACTAAAAACTGAGCTAGGATACTAGAATACTAGGGTACTAGGATTCTAGGATTCTAGGATACTAGGATACTAGGATTCTAGGATACTAGGATACTAGGATACTAGGATACTAGGATACTAAGATACTAGGATACTAGGATACTAGTATACTAGGATACTAAGATACTAGGATACTAGGATACTGGTATACAAGGATTCTAGGATACTAGGATACTAGGATTCTAGGATACTATGATTCTAGGATACTAGTATACTAGGATTCTAGGATACTAGGGTACTAGGATACTAGGATACTAGGATAGTATGATACTGGATACTAGGATACTAGGATACTAGGATGCTAGGTTACTAAGATACTAGGATACTAGGATGCTGGGATACTGGGATACTAGGATAACATGATACTAGGATACTAGGATACTAGGATACTAGGATACTAGGATACTAGGATACTAGGATACTAGGATAATAGGATAATAGGATTATAGGATACTAGGGTACTAGAATAGTAGGATGCTAGGATACTAGGATACTAAGATACAAGATACTAGGGTACTAAGATACTAGGATACTAGGATATTAGGATACTAGGATACTAGGATACAAGGAAACTAGGATACTAGGATACTGGGATACATGGATACTAGGATACTAGGATACTAGGATACTGCAGGATACTTGGATACTAGATACTAGGATACTAAGATACTAGATACTAGGATACTAAGATACTAGGATACTTGGATACTAGGATACAAGGAAACTAGGATACTAGGATACTGGGATAGTAGGATACAAGGATACTAGGATACTAGGATACTACAGGATACTAGGATACTAGGATACTAGGATACTACAGGATACTAGGATACTAGGATACTAGGATACTAAGATACTAGATACTAGGATACTAAGATACTAGGATACTAGGATACTAGGATACAAGGAATCTAGGATACTAGGATACTGGAATACTAGGATACTAGTATACTAGTATACTAGGATACTAGGATACTGGGATACTAGGATACTAGGATACTAGTATACTAGGATACAAGGAATCTAGGATACTAGGATACTGGGATACTAGGATACTAGTATACTAGGATACTAGGATACTAGGATACTGGGGTACTAGGATACTAAGATACTAGATACTAGGATACTAGGATACTGGGATACTAGGATACTAGGATACTAGGATACTAGGATACTAGGATTATGTATGGAAGGGGTAAAGAATGTGTTTTCTAAGTCTTTGTTTAAAGATAAAATAGTTGGAATGAGATTTGGAATTCTTAAAGGAAACTCTTTATTTTCCTCTAGTTATCTTATTCTTCTTCTATCTTTCATCCTTTCTTTCATCCTTTCTTTCATCCTTTCTTTTACCCTTTCTTTCACTTCTTATCTTGAGTTTCCTTTTTTCTTTCTAAATTCTTGTCATTTTTGTTTTCGTTCTTTAGTTCTTAGAGCTTAGTCATTTTCATTTTTGTTTCTACATTTTTCTTTTTTTTCCTTTCACGTCTTTCTTTATTTTTTATCTCTTTCTTTGAAATTTCATAGATTTTGTTTCTTTTTTGCGATTATTTTCTTTTATTTCTTTTTCCTCTTCTACATATGTAGTTAGCATTATTTTGCCTTATACTTTGTCTTCGTTCAATACTGTCTTTATTTTGATATTTAGTTTTTTCAAATTTAATTTTTTTTGTCTATATAAGGTTCCCGTTGGTTAATATATATCTTTTATGCTAGATGTTATGTTATATTTTTTCATGATATACTAAAATAAATTTTAGACAATTTTAAACCTTAATCTGTTAATAAGTAAGGAGGGGGGGGGAGAAAGTTTTTATCAGTGGAAGATGTAGATTTCAAATATTTTGCTAAGAATAGATGTTCAAAGAATAGAACCTGGAAAACTTGATGCTTGCTAAAGAGAAAGTTGAAAACTTAATTTAGATTTGTTTGGGGGGCTTCATGTTTATTTGTTTTAGAATATTTGCTTGTCTTTGTCCTCAGGTTTAAAACAAAATTTAAATGGAGGGTTGAAGTCTGGAGGGAGGGGGGAGGGAGGGAATAGAACGAAAGAAGTTAGTTCGATTTATAGAAATGATCCCTTTCCTTAAACTAGAATTCTTTAATACTTCGATATGTTCAACCTGATGATATAAACCTTTGATATTTAAATTTCAGTTTGCAAAGATATAGACAGGGAATAGAAAACTGGAGTTTGTGGCGAGTTATCCGTTTCTTTTATTTACAAAAAGGACAAATATATTAATAATGTTGTAACTTGTATACTTGTATACTGTATAGTTTGTTGAGTGGTTTTGATTTTGTTTGTCGAAGGTTTGTTTGTTCGTTTGCTTGATTATTTCAATAATGCACAACACGACAAACACAGCCAAATATATTATTAGGGTAATCAGTTCTGTTTCTCATTGGTAATCAGTTCTGTTTCTAATTGGTAATCAGTTCTGTTTCTCATTGGTAATCAGTTCTGTTTCTCATTGATAATCAGTTCTGTTTCTCATTGGTAATCAGTTCTGTTTCTCATTGGTAATCCGTTCTGTTTCTTATTAGTAATCAGTTCTGTTTTTCATTAGCAATCAGTTCTGTTTCTAATTGGTAATCAGTTCTGTTTCTTATTGGTAATCAGTTCTGTTCTAATTGGTAGTTAGTTCTGTTTCTCATTAGTAATCAGTTCTGTTTCTCATTGGTAATAAGTTCTGTTTCTCATTGGTAATTAGTTCTGTTACTCATTAGTAATCAGTTCTGTTTCTCATTAGTATTCAGTTCTGTTTCTCATTGGTAAAAAGTTATGTTTTTCATTGGTAACAAGTTATGTCTCTCATTGGTAATCAGTTCTGTTTATCATTGGTAACCAGTTCTGTTTATCATTGGGAATCAGCTCTGTTTATCATCATTGGTAAACAGCATTTCTATTTATCATTAGTAACAAGTTCTGTTTATCTTTGGGAATCAGTTCTGTTTATCATCATTGTTAATCAGCAGTTCTGTCCATAATTGAGAATCAGTTCTATTTATCATCATTGGTAATCAGCAGTTCTGTTTATAATTGGGAATCAGTTCTGTTTATCATCATTGGTAATCAGCAGTTCTGTCCATAATTGGGAATCAGTTCTGTTTATCATTATTGTTAATCAGCATTTCTGTTCATAATTGGGAAACAGTTCTGTTTATCATCATTGGTGATCAGCAGTTCTGTTCATAATTGGGAATCAGTTCTGTTTATCATCATTGGTAATCAGCAGTTCTGTTCATAATTGGGAATCAGTTTTGTTTATCATCATTGGTAATCGGCAGTTCTGTTAATAATTGGGAATCAGTTTTGTTTATCATCATTGGTAATTAGCAGTTCTGTTCATAATTGGGAATCAGTTCTATTTNTAACCTATAGTATATATTGGGAATCAGTTCTATTTATCATCATAGGTAATCAGCAGTTCTGTTATCAATGGTAATCAGTTCAGTTTATCATCATTGGTAATTAGAAGTTCTGTTCATAATTGGGAATCAGTTGTATTTATCATCATTGGTAATCAACAGTTCTGTTATCATTGGTAATCAGTTCAGTTTAATCAGCCTGAGATGCGTTTATTGTATCAGCCAAATGCATATGTTTATCATTTCTTCTTCAGTGTTGATTTCAAATTTGATTTTTTGATATTCCATCGTTAAATGTTTGTTCTGTTTTAATATTTTCTTGTTTTCTGTTTGTGTGTATTTGTTCTATGAATAAAGTTTCTAAATATGAAAATACGAATCTGGGGGGTTACCGTGTGACTTGACTTGTAATAAGGCTATATTCAATTTATTTATTTTGACAGCTGAGCATTCAAAATCCGCGAGGAAAAATGTTAAAGAGGAGTAAGTGGGATGTGATATTTAAATAGAAAATTGAATTTATTTTAAGGGTGGTTTTTATGGAGTAGGAATAAGAAATATGTTTATTCTATAGTGTAGAGGCAGTTTGATATAAAAAAGGGGAATTAAGGAAACGGAAAAGGAAGAAAAAGAGGAGAAAAGAGGGGAAAAGAGGGGAAAAGAGGGAAAAGAGAGAGAGGGAAGAAGAAGGAAAGGAGGGAGAGGGGTTGCGGGGGGAGTAACAAGGCGAGAAATGTCGAAAGATTAATTGTCTAGAGGGGTTTGTTAAACATTATTGTGTGGGAAAGAGAAGGGAGTCGATTATGATCGAAATTATAAGGGCTTGTGGACAACTTGGTAATCCTATATGGACTAATATGTGTTATGTATGTTTGTGTGTGTCACAGCAGGGTGTGTAAGAAACTCAGACATTGAAGAAAGTAGAGAGAGAGAATCAGTTTCCGTAGTATATGCTTGATATTCATCGGAGACGGAGCTAAAACCTCGGTTCAACCTTACTCCGGAGATAACCTAGAGCAGGGTTGGGTTTGATCAAAGATCATATCATCCTAGGATATTCCTCTGGAGGATTAAATAAGTTGAAAGAAAATTATGTGGAGAGTGACATGTGATTAATGGTGTAGAAGTGAACTAGCTCAAGCTTGTTAGAAACCTGTTCTAAATTGAAATAAATTGAGCTGACGAAATAAATCCATTGATAAGGATAGTTAGATAGAGAGGACATGTTGATTTCAGGATACTAAACGGTGAGTAGGGNTATTTCTGGGGGTGGGGGAGATCTTTGAGATTATTAGTAGGATGAGAAGAATGAAATTAAAACTAGGAAAGTATCTACAAGATTGAAAGTAGGAGGAAGATATCTTTAAAAGAAATAATATTAATAGGACGAGATTCATGAGATCGAAATAGGACAAAATCCATGAAATTGAAAGTAAAAAGAGATCTTTAGATTAAAAATAGGAAATCCTCACGATTGAAAGTAGGAGAAAATCTATAAGAATAAATGTAGAAGGAGGTTTTTAACCTCATATATTTTCCTACTGGAGAAAATCTATAAGGGTGAAAATAGGAGGAGATCAGTGAGATTAGATGTAGGAGAAAATCGTTAAGATATGAATTAGTAAAAAATATTTGAGACTAAAAGTAGAATAAATTTTTTGAGATTGAAAATAGTAACGTTCTTTGAGATTAAAAGTAGAATAAAATCTATAAGTATAAAAATAGAAGGAGGCATCAACTAGGAAAGTGAGAAAGAAGGGAGAATAGAAGAAGAAATAATAAGAAGAAGATGAATAGATGGAAGGATGGATAGATGAATAGATTTGGAAGCTGGGAAGCTAGGGATAGGATTAGAATTAGAATGAACTATATTAAACTAAATCTTGGACTGAAATATAAATATGAGGCTGGATAATTCTAATTTATTCAGCTAATTCAAAATATGCAAGATAACACGAAATCTAAATTTGAAAAAGTTTTAAACTTTTGCTAAAAGATAAATTGCAACTCTTCACATTAGAACTATAAATTATATCTTTAAACTGTTTCGTCAGCTACTTATTCAGCTACTTATACAATTTTCCAAAAATCTCCACATCTTCTCAAATTAACTTTTTCTTTCAAGTAAAAGATTTTTTAAGAAATATAGATTTTTCAACTATATTTTTGTTTATTTTTAAAACTCAAGAAACTGGCCCACTTATAAATTTCAACAAAGAAAACTTTTCAAAAAACAATATTCTTAAATATAGTTTTATTTTCTTATTCTCTCTCTCTCTCTTTCTGTTTTTCAGCGCCTCATATTTTTTTTGTTTGTTAAAAAGTGTGTTATCATAAATTTATCAACAAGAAGAGTAGAAAAAGAAAAAAATTATTTTCCGCTTTAATTTAATTGGAACCTTTATGTCAAAAACATTTATATTTACAAAATCCTACAAAATTATCCTGTTTTCTTTCATTGGTTGTAAGAAAAGTTTAAAAATATTTTTGCTGCTTTTTTCTAAAATCTAAATTTCTTTTAGAATCTTTCTAAGGGATTGTTGAAAAAATGAAAGGAGGTTTTTAGAATATAAATTATAATCAAATCAATTCATTAATTTTATTTCAAATTTTTTGTAGCATGGATGGGGTATTGTGGTAGCCCTGATAGAAAATAAT